TTAAAACAAAAAATAAAAAATAAAAAAAAAATTATATATCAAATTATTCATACAAGTTAATAATGGAAGATTCTGATAATTCAATATTAGAGGTTGCTAAACATTCTGATCATAATACACAAACTAGTAAAACTCAAAAAAAAAGAGGCCGTCCAAAAAATATACTTTGGGATAATTATTTTAAAGAAATTAATCTGCATAAAGATGGTCACAAAAGTTGGGAATGTCTATATTGTAAAGAACAAAACCTACGTGCATCTGATATAAACATGAACACACATTTGGTTTTAAATTGTAAAAAAGTTCTGCCTAATATTAGGCAAGAACTTTTACAAAAATTTCCTATACCAAGTCAAAAAAAAAAAAACTAAAGCAGCATTAGATATTATTACTGGTGTACAACCACAAATTAATAATAAATTTCAAATTATAAATATAATGGATCCCAGACAAGAAGAATTATGTTACAAAGCATTAACTCGATTTTTTGTATGTTGTAGAATTCCTTTTTGGATTATTGAGCATCTATTTTTTTTAGATTTTTGTAACAATTTAAGCATATCATACAAACCACCTAATTGAAAAGCTTTGAGCAATAATTGGCTCAATTATGAAACAATAAGAGTTACAGTCGCTATGCAAAAAGAACTTCAAAATGAAAAAAATCTTACATTAGATAATATTAATAAATAAATATATAAAAATTGTATATTTCTTACTAAATAAATTTATTATTATTGGCTTTAGATAGATGGACAAGCAATCGTGGTTGCTTTTATTTTGCATTTGTAATTATAACTGCTAACAAAAAACAATATGTATATTCAATTAAAGATTTTTTTAGTGAATCACATACTGCAATTTTTACTACTAATGAAATTGAAATAGTTTTAACAGATATTGGTGTAGATAAATTTGGAGCTATTGTATCTGATGCTGCTTCAGCTATGACACTTGCTAAACAATATATTTCAAATAAATATTTAGCAATCCTACCTGTTAGATGTATTGCATATCATATCCAGTTGATTTGCAATAATATTATTTGTAAAACTTTATTTGAAAAAAAGTATTACAACAATGTCAATTGTTTATAACATATTTTCATATATCTTATCATTCTGGAGCAATTTTATATAATGAAATAACTCGCTTGATGATAAATAAAGGTGGATTAAAAAGTTCTGTTTGTTCACACTGGTTATCTGCATATGATTGCGTACAATCAGTTCTTAATACAGAAATTTGTATTAAACAGGTATGCATATCAATAAATATATATTTATTATTATTTAATTAG